TATATATATATATATATTTGGGGTGGATAGAAGAAGGTCCAGGGGGCAGTAGAAAAAAAAAAGGGACAGATACAGAAAATATGTTATTCGGTTTGTGAAGCTCTAAAATAAGCAATACTTATTCTATGTTTATCATTAACCTTATATTTTTGTATAACAGTTGGACTCTTTCCAATTTCCAAGCCCCCGCATCCGCTCTTGCATATAAAAAGATATAATGTGGTTACTTCCTTTAGGATTTCAAAATAAACTAAAACATGGAATACAAGAAACATCTTCAGAAAAGCCTTTACAACAGATACGATATATTCAGATACTTGTGTCATATCTGAGTCATTAGCTGTAGATACGTGAGCTTATTCGTTTCTAAAAACACACACCTATATATACATATATATTTACATTCACATAGTTTATGTCAATATGTGTTTGGTCAAACGTGTGTGTGCTCGGATGATTACTCACTAAAAGCTAAACATAAACATAAATGTTTGTTGTTACAATTACTTCACTCATAAATCATGAACGTTAGCAATAGCAGCTTAAAAAAATTGTTTAGTTTAAGAATATAACTAACGTCAGCTTATTACATTTTAACCAGAGTCAAAGCATTCAATAAACCTTTATGAACAATAATATATTTTACCAAAAGATGGCAGCAGCTGCCCTGTACCGCAAATAGAAGAAATGGGTAATTTTGGTCCAATTCAAAAATGCTAAGCGGAAATATAAATCCAAAATTTTGCTTTAGTTCAAATAATAAGATAAAACACCTTGGAATTACTCACAGTGGATCATTTTATTCAGGTGCTGTAAAACTAAATTTACATTAAGTTTTTTTTTCATTCAAGCATTTTTTGTGGAGTTCACGTATTTTTGTGTGTTACATCAGCCCAAGACACTAACGCTGTAATATGCAAATCAGAATATTGCTAATATCATATAGATTATCAAATATACTAGATTATGTTGGAAAATGTGTTACTTTTAAGGATAAAAACGTGTGAGAAAGAGCGGAAAGCTGCAGTGTCACAGGATGACATTCTCGTTGTCAGCTGAGTTATGTGAAACTAACCCCCGGAACGAGAGTGACTGGACGAAAAGGAGAAGGGTATTGTTTTCCTTTTATTAATTGATGTTCTTTCTCACCACTGATGTGACGTTCTTTCAGGAATAAATATTTATTTAAAAACCAAAAAGACGTAGGGATTGTTCAGTTAAGTAGACACAAATTGAGGACATTAATTCATGTCGCGAGCGCTAGTATACATACTAGTAGAAATACCCGTCCTCCGAGTAGGTATAACTGCTGGTTCCTGCGGAAGGCTATTGGACCTGCGGCCTTTTCTGGAATTGCCTGACAGTTCTACAACAATGTACTCATACTTGGCATTCAGTGATGTTCACCACCCATGAGAAAAGGGATTTTATTAAAATTTGAGTTTAAAAATGAGCTATCATCACAGGATTACATCATGGAGTAGATTTTATTGAAGTGTTTCTTTGTAGACGCATGAAATTTTCACTAAAGAAAAACAAATATTTTTTAAGTTTGTTCTTTGATTGTTTTATATTTGAAACTTACTCCTTTTTTCTAATTTTTATTGGTTAAATCTGAAACATATCATTTTTGTGGAAATTTCAATTGTTTTATTTATTGCTCAGCTATAAAAAATGCTGCCTAGCTATAAAAATATTACCCAGTTATGATTGATGATGATCGGTGCGGTAATTCCAGAGATCCGAGTTTTGGATGTATACATAGCAAGCCCCATTATAATGAGATGGTAATATTTTGGTAAAATAAAGTAAGGAACTGCTTGCCATTGTCGCTAGGTTCTCGGAGTGCCAGCACTTATAAGTTTCGACGTTCGCTACTACACTTGGAGTGCTTGGTTGCTTTTTTAAGCCATCTTAAAGTAGACTTTACGTTTCTGACAACAATATTGCAAAAGTGTGTACACTGAACTTTCCTCTTCACATTCACACAAATAATAAAAAAAATACTTGCATCAGTTTTTCTTTTTTCCTATTGGTGGATAAAGATTGAAGGTAATGAAAATTTTAAAAACTTTATGTGGATCTGGGATCAAAAGTAAGCAAAAAAGCTGTTCTATTGAATTTTATAGATCTGCTCTAGAGGCATGGGCGTCCGGGGGGGCACGTGTCCCCTGAAAAATGAGAAACATAATTCTTTCCTTATGCATTCAGTTCACAATTTCACACTAATTTGCCCCCCCCCCCTGGAAAACTTTGCCCCTCCTTGAAATAATTTCTGCGGACGCCCATGTCTAGAGGTGTATAATGTTGACAACGAAGCAAAACTTTTGTCACATCTAATTCTGCGGGAAAGTAATAAGCATATATATTTTACGCCTAATAAAACAAACTATGCAAGTAGAAAAGCCTACAGATGTTTTGTTCCTTTCTATTTTAGCTAGAGAACTACCGTTTTGTTTGATATATCACAATATGTTTTACATATTTTATTGTAAAGGCGAGAAAATGTTCTTTTAGTAAATAATATTAACGAGAGATCATTGTTGTTTGTTTTTGGTAAGCACAAATCTACACAATGGGCTATCTCTACTGTGCCCACCACGGGTATTGAAACCCGGTTTTAGCGTTATAAGACTTCAGATTTACCGCTAAGCCGTTGGAGGGAGAGATCATTATGAAGAAAACCACTAACGAAAAAATAAAATTATTACAGGTAACTAAATATAATAAATCATTATTGCAGGTAAATGTACAACGTAATTAATGGTCGAGTGTGGCCCAGTGGTTATCGTATTGGGCTGCGGATCTAAAGTTCTATGTTCTATGGTTTGGACTCGTTACCATCAAAAGAAAATCTAATTCCACAACTTAGTGCCGTTGGTATTTTGCCAAATGCCGCTATTCGACTAGAGTAGTCTACAAGTTGATGGTGAGTGGTGTTGACTAGCTATCCAGGGGTCACCAAACTTTTTTCACAGCGGGCTAGATAACTGAGAGAATGACGAGCGTGGGCCTCATAACCATTTTGTTCAATACAATACAGTGAATACACAAAAAATAAAGACAAGGTATTTAAAATTTATTATGCAAGTTAATTAGAAGAGCTTTATAAAAAATAATTAAGATCATATTTAATAAAAATATTAACAATCTTAATAGGCAAATATAGTATTAAGAATTTGATACTAATTTAATTAAAATCTTCGTTAATTTAATTAATTCGTTTTTTGAGTGTATAGCGATTAAAATATAGATAAGATGAAAGATGCATAATTTATTTTTAATTTATAATTTTTTATGGTGGTTGCGAGATCATTCAAATTTTCCGGACCCGAACAGAAATTGATTACTGAAGACAATATATAAAATA